TCAAAGATTGCTTGTCTAAGCGAAGAAGAGTATGGGAGTGGCTGCGGGGCCATGGAGACCAGCTCTGGTTTGCAGGGGCTGTGCCGTGCGCAGGATTCGGTTGGGCTCAACCGAGGGTCACGAGAGACCCCGCGCTAGCCGCAGTCGTGAGGAGCGTGTGCGCATGTGCAGCCGCGTGCCAGCCGCGTGCTAGCCGCGTGCTAGCCGCATGAGGAGCGAGGCTGGAGCCGTGCGAAGCCTACGCACCTGCGCAGGAATGTAGCAACGTGCAAGTACCTGCCGTTGCCATGGAAACCACAGCCCCTGAGTGAGGATAAAGGGGGCTGCCCAGACAAGGCCCGGCGTGTCGCTCACTGCCGACCCCCCTGACACGACGCCCACCACCGAAACGCCGAAGGTTTGGACCCCGGCGCGACCGCCTGCCGTGACCGCCTGCCACCGAAACAGAAACACCGAGAGATTTGGATCCCGGCGCGACCGCCCAGCTCCGAAACACTGAAGGACTTGGACCCTTGGGACGCCGCGGATCCATGGTGGTGACTATTCTTGACTCTATCCCGAATGCTTTCTTAATTTCTATCTTTGTCCTAATCTATCCTATCGCTAATAAGTTTGATAATAAAAGTCGTTTAGGACATTTGAAATTGGCAGCATTTGACCTCGTTTTTGTCTTAATCACGCTCCTGGGATTGTATCGAAACCTCCCCTGACGCTGGATCGGGACACACTTGTTTCCAAAAGTAGTTGCATTTCCAATGTCTCTATGCAGTCAACTTCTTAGTAGCCTACATCATACCCTACTGCTTCTGTCAAATCACGAAGTACACGGCAACCTTTAATCATAGTCTTTTATCACGAAGATGATGGAAGAGTACCTCAGACACGCCATCTCCTGGATGTTCTCTGCCTTCAAAATGGCAAATTGATTTCATATCGAGTCTCTCATTCCCAGACCCTAGTAGACAATCTTCTATGGTTTATATCTACTTGAAAATAATCACAACAGTCAACCCTGAGCCTGGATCGAGACAGAGCTAAAGCTCTGTTTTTCAAGACATGCCAAGAGATCATGACCTTATCTTAAATTCCAAGCCTCAAGCTCTTCTAAGCAGAGAAGAGGACCAAATCTAATTAAGGCAAAGTGTCATTATCATGAATTACTTACACAACCTGGCTACATCTGTTCTAATCTAATTAGAATTAACTTGTTGGTATCATACAGAACATAGGCAGACAGGATTTATCTGATGCTGTTAAGTAAATAACAGTCCACACTGTACAGCTCAGTTTCTCTGAAATGTATGAAAACGTCTGCTGTTTCAAAACCACTATCCTAAGCCTTTATTTACAGGTTGCTTTGGCTTCAGTTTCATGTTTGGAGGATTGTTGGTTTTTTCTGCACTCCACATATTAGCCATTACTATTTTCCAATCTATCAGCCAGGTTCCTCTTCATTGAGTATCACTACCAATGTTCATTTTACTAAAGCAGTCCTCTTTTAAGACCCACCAAAATTGAAACAGGCAAGCATAATTTTAAGCAATCATGCTAAAGAAATAACCCCACAGTAGTGCCCTGAAGACATTTGGAAAGTAGAAAAAGACATGAGAAAAGCAGCCCTGCAGACACAAAGGTCAGAGAAGAAAGTGGGGGAGGAGGTGCTCCAGGTGCCGGAGCAGAGACTACCCTGCAGACACAAAGGTCAGAGAAGAAAGTGGGGGAGGAGGTGCTCCAGGTGCCGGAGCAGAGACTACCCTGCAGACACAAAGGTCAGAGAAGAAAGTGGGGGAGGAGGTGCTCCAGGTGCCGGAGCAGAGACTACCCTGCACCCTGTGGAGAAGACCATGATGGAGCAGGCTGTCCCTATGCAGCCCACGGAAGACCACACCAGAGCAGATATCTACACTGCACCCCCTGGAGGACCCTGCACTACAGCAGGTGCACATGCCCTGAGGGAAGCTGCAGCCCCTGGAGAGCCCACAGAGGGGCTGGCTCCTGGCAGGAGTTGTGGCCCTCGGAGAGGAACACATGCTGCAGCAGGTTTATCCTGAAGGACTGCAGGCCATGGTGGAGCAGTTTGTGAAGGACACTGGAACAGAGGAAAAGTGTGAGGAGGAAGGAGCAGCAGAGAGAAACTGCTGTGAACTGACTGAAACCCCCATTCCCCATCTCCCTGCGCTTCTCAGGGCAAGGAGGACATAGAGGAGTCAGGAATGAAGGAGTGAAGTTGAGCCTGGGAAGAAACAGGGGAGGGGTGTCTTTAGTTTTGTCTTTATTGCCATTTAAAAATAGAGTAAGATGGTGAGAAACAAATTAAATTAACCTTCCCCAAGGCAAGTCTGTTTTGCCCATGACAGTAATTGGTAAGCAATTTTCTTATCTTTATCCCAACCCATGAGCTTTTTTGTCTTATTTTCTCTCCTTGACCTGTTGAGAAGAGGGAGTGAGAGAGCAGCTGGGTGGGCATCTGGCACCTAGTCAAGGCCAAACCCACCACAACCATGTATTTGTGACCAAAACCCAAACAGTTAATATTACAACCATTTAACAATAAGAGCAGAGAGATGATATTCTATGAGTCTTCATCAAACATCTTTACTTTGAGCACTAATTTCTCTCCTTTGTGTGGGAATTGTTTCCTATCCTCTATATTTATTTCTAGTAACATAAAATAAAACTGCTCAAATACCACTCAAAACAGCTCAATCCACTATTTTCCTACTTACATGTACTTCCAATGGAAATCACTTCCTGATAATCTTTTTATTAAGTCAGTCTCAAACACAGTAGATGTTAACATAGAGAATTAACAGCTGTATAGTGCCAGCTCATATTTCCCATTTCTTCATTGAATATATCAATTGAATAGATTATATTGATATATTATTGTATCAGTGTTGAAACAAAAGAAGGAATCTTCTCCAAAATAAAGCAGGTCATTAACATCCTTGTTAGAAGACCCATTCTTCCTACTTAGTTATTATCTACCCTTATAACAGCCCCCTGGTGTTGCTATGCTCCAAAACAGAAACAGTATTTTTTATAAAATATGCAAGATGTCGTAAGGAGAGACTAAGTAGCAAGAATAAAAGCTACATGCCTGAAAGGAAGCATCAATAAACAGATCTGACAAAGTCAATGGAGGGCAGAGAGAATGCATAAGAACTTTTTAATGAGGAATTATTTTCAGGTTGTCTTTTAGGGAATAAGGAGGAAGATACTCCTTTTTTCTTGTCAATTTACAGGTTGTTTTTTTTTTTTTAAATGAGATGTATGTTCAAAATGTACCTAAGAACGTTGTCTTTTTTTTTTTCCCCCAATCATTGCAGAGAATTTTTTTTTTTTTTCCAATCAACTCTTACTAAAGCTTGGATTTCAAGCGGGAGAACATTTCCTACTGGCAGAAAAGTGCAGAGAATCAAGCATATCAGATTTTTTCCTCCATTGTCAAGGTATTCAACAGCAGGGCTAAGATTAACAACTATGTTCCCAGACACAAGTGCAGTACTGTGTCCATCCAACATGACACTACAGAGCAGCAAAAACCGTGTGCTGGAAAAAGTGTAATTATTCACTGCCAAAACCCTCCTGCCTCATTCAGATTTTAAACAATTTACAATACTGGCTTGAAATGAAATAATATTCCCCAATAATTTGCATATTTTCTGTTTGCATTTTGAATTCCGTTAATGAAATGGAACATTTCACATTGAACAATCTTCTACTCACATGCACTTTTTTTTACTTTTAGTATAGATAATGACTTCAGGTTTACATACTTGTAAAAAGCCTGATTCTCCACCCCACATTTCCAAAGATGCTTGCAGGCTGCTGGTGTAGAGGTATGGAATGACAGCACAGCCTTTTTCTAAGTGCAAAGAAAAGAAAGCAAATAAAAGTAATGAAAATGTTGAATTTTCAAAGATTGAAGTAGCTGTACCTGACAGCATCACCATGAACCACATACACTGAAGACCAAGTTTTCCTGTGTAGCCTCCATCTGTGGTTCACCCACAGAAGTACAACCCATACATAGCTGATATTTAAACTGCCCAGGCAACTGTTTCAGAAATAAAAGGGGATGCTTGGAGGCGGCAGAAACGAGCTATGTGCAAGCGGCTTGTAGAATGAATCTGTACCAACTGTCTTCAGGCCAAAATCAAAGGAGGAAAGTCTCTACGTTCAATACTCCACATTGCACAGTTGCTGCACTACTTACCACCCCCTTCTCCCTGTTCTTTGTGTCCTACTGTCAGATCCTCCTTGCAACCACACAAACAGCCCCTGATACCTCTGGCGTTATTTCCTTCCTCCACTTTCTATTCATCATCTAGATGGCATCCAAAGCCATAATCTTGGGCTGTGTCACTCTGCCCTAGGGGAAGAACTGATTATAGCATGCTGTAGGCAAAAATCTCTATGATTCCAATGGCAAGAGCCCAATGATAGGACTCCTAACTACCTAGGACAGACTCCAGCCTATTCAGCTGACCAAGATTTGAGGAGATGATCATAATTAGCTAAAAGTACCTCACATTGATCCAGGTATCAATGCCCACCTGAATTTTCAATCATATACAGATGTCGCTGATGCTTTAGAGTGGGTGGGTACAGCTTTAGCGCTTTAAAATCCATTAAAACTTGACTACACAGATGACCAAAACCACGAGCAATCAACATAGCACTGCATGAATGTTAAGTGAGAAATGTCTCAACCTTTTGCAAATTAGGCATTCTTTTGACAACAGCAATATTCACTTTCACTCATAATCTACATTTTAGTTACAATATGAAGTACAATTATTGATTGTTTAGAAGTTTGTTTAGTTAAAAAATAACTTATATTTTAGTTGACTCTAAATCAAATGTAGAAGTTCTGTAAGAATATTAAACCTGACCTCTTTCTGAGCTCCAAACACATAAAAAGTCTTCCCTTCAAATTTCAGTTTATAGACATCACACCTAGAAAGAGAAAAATCATTTAAGTATAGGAAAAATAGATAGATCTACAGCTAAGAAAAGCAACTTGCATGCATGTTTCCCTGATTACCAAAGTCAAGCAGGCTGTCAAATGACAAAAAGAGCCTCAACAGAGGTCTTACAACCTTTAGCATAAAAGCATTTAATATTTTAATTTTCTTTAGAATAGAGAACATAAGCCCAAAGTATTTCTTTTACATCCCTATGCACCTTCAAAGAATTAACTTCGGTTGCTGGAAAACGCAGAGAAAATTAAAAGTAGCCAGAAGCTTATGTTTACATTCTATTTATTACAGTTTGTAATTCCTCTTACATCTTAAAATCTAATGTAATTTAATTGAGGGAAAGACAATACTTTGAGCTTGCATATGTTGCATAAGAAGGCATACAATTTTCTAGATGCAGGCACTTTTTACCAGCAACATCTTATCTCTACTCTTACTTATTGTGGGTTCATATCACACATCTTAGTAACTGACTACTTGCAGACAGAACACAACAGGAAGAAGAAGAAAATGTTTGACAGCACTTATTACTGGGGCCTTGTGAGTTGCAAACCTATATCAAAATTTAATTTAACCAAGGCTGAAAGAACAATCTACATATGGAAAAGTAATGCACGATATAAAGGCAATATGATGCCTGTGCTTAAATTGTAATGAAAATTTTGTCATTACCACAGCTAAAATGAAGACACTGTAGTTTTTCATAAACTTCTCTAAAGATTTTGGATGTCCGATGGTTGAAATGGGAACGATTCTGGAGGCAAGAACAATGCTATCCCAGAAACTTTACAACAAGAGTTTTGCTTTAACATTAAACAACAACAACAAAAAATCATTCCAGTTGAGAAAGCTTTTCCATTGAAAAGGAAATCTCAAATATGAATTTGGATTTTCATTGTGTAGTGCAAATATCAGCTAATATCAGTTAAAGCTATTAGCACTCATTTCTAGGTCTCAGAAACGAAAGGAGCAGTACATGGTGTTCAGATAAATCTCACCAGATCGACCTTCCAACGGCCAGCGTAACACTGAGACAGCTTAATGGCTTTTCCTCTATCACTATTTCATTTTGCATCTGGTTTAATGCCAATGGACTAAATGAATACACCGAGCTCTCCGAAGGGACACGTTATCCTGGAGTAACATGAAAAACTAAGCGCCGTGAAACTCATTTCCCAGAGTATGGTGGATACATGCTCGGCAAGTGCTGTTCTCTCCTCCCTGCACCATAGACTGACGTTATAGTTACATTGTCCTTATGCCAAAAGCACAAACCACCAAAGCACTGTGACTAGGGCTACCTGAAATTAAACCTAGGGAAACTGCAGCACAAATCCAGCATCACAAATGTATTTGACAGACAAGTCCCCAGAGTTCCACATGGAACAGAATCGTACAGACAGGACCACGCCGACTTTATACCTCTGACGATTTCAGGTTAGTCAGCTCTTGGGGAGGTTTCTATGGATATGCAGCAAAGAGACCAGCTCTACACAAAAAAACCACCTCACCATTTCTTCACCTCCTGCCCATCTTCTTCCCACAAGACAGGCTGGCAGCACTGAGGTGGAGCAGCCACATCTAAGTAACGGCTGTTGGCATCTGTTTAGCGGCAGGGCTAAAATGCGATTTATCAATGTCTGAGCGTGACTATGCTCACTCTGCACCACATTACTGAGGGCATGGCCAGCTGCTGTTACACCACCTGCGGAAGCTCAGTTTTACCTCTCCCTCAAATGTGGCTGAGGCTGCCCAATTAAGTCAAATGTTTTACAGGAGCAGAAAAGAAAAGCAAAGCCAGACAAACCAAGGACAATTGCGTGTCTACTTCTTAAATAAAGAGGCTAAAAAATAAAAATTCAAAGGCATTCTCATCTCCTTCTCTGCTTACCAAATATGTTCTTTAATAGTTTTCAAGATGAGGTTAATTAAATGAGGAAATAGCAACATTTCCAAGAGTCACAAATAAAGATGCAGGTGGACTCTTGTAAATTCTTCCAGATATCTCTGCCAAAATCCCCATTGGTGATTTACAGCATAGTTGAAGAATCAGCTTACTCAATTTTAGCATTTGTGCATTATGTTGACTAATGCACCCTGTGGAATAATTTTCACTAGAGGAAGAACAAGACCAAATTATTATTATTATACTTCTCATCTAAGATCCTTTAAAAAAAGAACATGATGGGGCACGAGAGGGAATATTCACGTGGTTCACCTTAAAGATAATAGATGCAGGTGAAGATAGTAGGAAGAAGGGAAGACACAGGAGAAAAGACTCTTGCATATTAATCTACTCTTACTTCACATGCTTACCATTTTAACAAATGAATTCTTTTATTCCCCTGGAAGACTACAAATCCTGCAGCTGTGAATCCTAAAAATGTAGTCATCCCCGTTGAGTCCTTGAAAGAGAAAAAAGAAGTATAATTTTCCCCTCATCCAGTGAGTTATTTCTTACTGATAGCATGAATTTTTACTCCACTATAGATTACCTCTATTTAGTTTTCCTTTTCGAAATAAATTTTGCCTTCAAATTGTACACTTCTAAAGAACAAAGACTGCTCTTGGCAATACAGGCCTCATTTATTTCTAGGCATTTAACTGAGTAACAGCATCTTATGCTTTGGTTCCATCTACCTGTAGCTAATGACAACAGGGAATCCTTAGGTATACTTACCAATTTTGTTGAAAACATACTGCTGTGTATGTCCCATTCTTAATGTGCTGACTAACACAAACCAGGGATTCATATCTGCTTCAACACTGGTATTTTTTAAGATTTCACAATACATTGTTCCTCTGCAAGATGTTGTGTTGGAAGTACTGCTGACAGACAGCATTTACTACATCAAGCAAGTACTCTTGAGTAGAAACCAGAACATATGGTGATACTTGCTTTCAAATAGGAAAGACCATTTTTTAAATTTTTAGTTCCACAATAAAAGTTCTGGCTCATAGCTTTTGCACAATGATTCAGGTGAGTTTTGTACTAACTGGATTTCCTGTCAATCCCAAGTTCCAGATCCTCACCTTGTTAAAGTTAGTCAACTTCATTGCGCCTTACGTTCCACCAACAAAATAAGGGAGAACAGAAATAGTGATGCTTCTGGAGTAGCAGCCACAGCACTGGAAGGAGCACATCGTAAGGAGCCAGGGAAGCACCTTGCTTTGCAGTTCACTTCCAGAAGACTGAAAAATTTTCCTCAAGCATAGGCCGTGAACCCCTGCATGCCCTCACACTACAAACCCTGCCAGACAGGTAAAGAGGAAATTTTGATCCAGTTTTGACTCTAAGTGCCAACGTAAGTCTCTGGGATGCCCTCTGAAAATCTGCAGTATAGTTTCAAACTAAACTTTACTAAGTCACTGACTTCACTGAGCTCTGAACCAGACCCTGTATTTCACACAGGACCACCATTCCTAGCAAAGTACATATGAAATACGATGCAGCTCTATGTTAGAGCTGACTGACTAGAGCTTACCACCAGAACAGTTAACAGTTTTGCTGTTCCACCAAAAGAGATGGTATACAAGTCAAAGTAAAAGCAGCAGTTAAAATATGAAGCAAGTAACACTAAAAAGCACTGCAGACTATGCAGATAAAACCAAGTAATTAAAAATGCAGGTGTAAGAGATAATTAGAACTGGTAACTAAAACCACCTTCTTACAGAGAACCACAAAACAGCGAAGTGGAGGAATATGCAAATGTATATCTGGTTCTCCTCTCTATACATTTGGTTTGCTGTTCTTCCTAAGATTTGCATATTTTGATGGTGTTTGAAAAACTAATCTGCCAAGGACTAACAATTTGTTGCATCTTCTGGACAAGAATAATGCTGAATCCTGAAAATCTTGGCAAACATAAAATATTTCACACCTGGAATATTTAGAGAAACCTTTGCATTAAATGCAAAGAAATTATGAAGTATAATCAAAGCTTTTGTCATGACACTCTACTACATTCTCCTTTGATGTTCTGCTTCCTCTGGAGAGACCTTTCCTTTGACTGATGCAGAAATGTCAACCAGTCAATGTTCTTCCAAGGCTTAAAAATAATATGTAGTTCCAGGGCAAGTTCTTTTACGAATTACTCTCTATTTGTGCCTGGATAAAAAACAAAGCTAAATCAATTCAGTTAATGGCTTTTTACTAAATGGTAGCAAAAAGAACATTTTATTAAAATGTTCTTTAGTAAAAAGAACTGTTACCTTGCAAGGATGAGGATCAACACCGTAAGTTTCCAAAGAATATGCTTTCAGGAGCAAGTTGAATTCAGCAACAGCTGGGCTCTGACCTCTGAAATTACAAAAGAAACTAGTTTGACAGCAAAAAGAAAATAGGAGAAAAAGACTTTTTGACTGGAGAGTTTAAATGCTTAAAAAGGGAGGAAAGAAAAATTCTTACTGAAATGCAAACTATGTCAACTATGTTCTGTTTATAATATAATGGTAGAAAATTTTTCACATGTTTTCTCCTGCTGAATTGTACAGTGCCTGATGTTTTCAGGTAAATTCTGATGTTTTTTTCTCAATCCTAAGATAACAACATGTTATGCAGTCAACCAGAGTTATCGGATATCCTGCAAGTATCTATTGTCTTTTGATATACATGCACGTCAGCCTGAATATGAAATAAACCTCAGCATCTTTTTTCCACAAACCCTTGCTCCCCAACCCATTTAAAAGGATTGTGCGGATTAACAGACATTCTTTCCAGCGCAGGGCATAAACACAGCAATCATATTACACTGTCTACTCAGATGCATGCCTAATTATAGCAGTGCCTGTTACCATCATGGTAGTTCAGAATTTCCATTATATGCTCCTATTTTTAGGGTGTCTATAATCAACCATGAATATACACTAAAGCCTGAAACATGGCGTGCAAGACTTGAGTTCTAGAGTAGGTTTTATTATTTGATTTCTGCTCTTCTAACTCCTGCCTTTACAATAAGCTCTAACACAGATTTACAATGCCTGTTTGTCAGTGAACTGTTCTGAGTATTCTTTTATTCATGTATTTGCATGACTAGAGTACATGATTCTGATAGAGAATACGGTTTTGTGACAACGAGCAGTGCTTAGGACCTTTAGAAAGCCAGGCCTCATAAATGCCTCTCATGCAAATTATCCAAAAAATGAGCCATAGATAAATCTTCAAGGAACACAGCAATAGTCATACTTTATCTTACCCCTGCATTTTGGGGTCCAGTCTCACACTGTGACCAGTGGCACTTGGGAATTGGCATTTAAAAACTGCTCTGTGCACTGGTGTAGAATAATTTCCCTGTAGGTCTGTTATCCCCCAGTAGTTAGAAACCAACAAGTACTGACATACAAGACTCAGTATCCCGCCCAAAGTTCAATTTACCAATTAAGACAACGTCTGGGATGCTTGTGGATGTCAAATCCCATTTTGAACCTACCAAGCTGACGCCTGTGGCAATGCAAGTGTCAGTAACCTTTTCTGTTACAAAGTTCTAATTCATGCTCATTTGTACTTCACTGCTCATCATCTCCCAGTCAATCCCATGATACTTCTTTGGCTCCTTCCATATGTCTTTTGGTCCTCCTTGATACAACACTACTTGCACTTTACTTCAGATCACATTTTTGTTGATGTTTAGCTTTTAAAGAATAAAAACCACACGAGATTAGAGAAGAAGTGCCCCTCTTTCTCCTTCCTTTTTTGGTCTCATTCTCACCACTTTCCAATAGAGAACAACACGTATCAAGTGGAACACCAAAAATTACAATGTGCATTTACACAGCTAAGTATTTAAGGAGAAGACAGCATGAAAGCAGCAAACAAACAGAAACGCTTATTTTGCCCAATCAATTTTCTGATGGCTCTACTAAACTGTTTTCCTCCCTTTTCAATACTAATAAATCACAACTTTAAGTGTAATCACAACTGTAAGACCATAAATGAGCCTTAAAAAGGCAACAAGCTTGTTTCATGTACCAACCGCACAGGACAGAAGTAATTAACTAGCTTGACCTAAATTACTTGGAATAAAAACAAATAGATGGTTTGATCGCTTATTGGAAATAGGGCCTTACAGAAAAATAAGATCATAAAATGCATCTTCTTCCCACCTCCCTTTGCTGGTACAAAGGAAAGTAGTCAGTCTTCTGGTCTGAAAGGACCAAAAAGCGACAAATAATTTGGAACAATGTGATTTGGGGGTTTTGGCATTTCCAAAAGGGAACAAATTATTAAATTCCAATTATTATTAAAGAGACACATTAAAAAAGAATTAGTATGCTCTCCTCACCTATAGCCTCTGAAACTACGCTGTCTTTGTGCACATCAAGCGGAACAAGCTGTGTACTTGGGAAAAAAAGCAGAAGACGCGGACAAGTTTGATCTTGTTGGATTACAGGCTAATCAAATGGCTACTATGCAAAGCCTTAAAAGAACATCACAAAGCAGAAGAGTCAAGGTAATTATCAAATGAAAAAATCCTCTTATCATCCCTTATCAAGGGATTAATATTCAAGCCTTGATAATACGCTTTTCATCTGTAACTTAGCAATGAAATTTTCCCTACTAAATAAAAATGTAACTATGGCAAATTCTATCAGCAAAGTCAACATATTTTTAACAATCATTGATTTAACATTAGGTATGCTTTTGATTGGCTTTGTTAAAAAGCCTTTGGGCTTTCTACAAGCAACAAACAGCCTTATACAAAAATGTATAAAGTTTCCTCATTCATGCAAGTGTTTCAACTAATGCCTCTTACAGTGGAAAAACAGGGAATATTTAAACAACGCATTTTTGCTGTTTTGTGAGTTGGTTCTCTCATGAAAGTCAGGTCTCTCTCTCAGTGCATTCACTCCTTTTGACCTTATATGACTTCCCAAATGTTTCAGTATGTATTCAGCATTGAATGGAAGATGTATTCCCTTTCCATATGCTGCAGTCACTATAGCACCCAGATGCAGCGAGCCGAAGTTTTTCAACAGGACCAGTAAAAGAAACGGTTACACAGAAAAGTTTCTGTATATCATACAAATAATAAAATGTGGGTTACTTGTGAAATTAGAGCTCCGCGTTATTAGCTATGAATTAATGATTCAACCTAGGAATCAATCTAAAAGCTCCTAATAAAATTTTAATGAAACAAAGACTTTAAGAGAAGACTGAGAAGTCTGCAACATGCTCTGTTTTTTCCTTTAGGGTCATGAGAAGTACACACTAGAGTACGTACAAGCTCTGTTTATTCCCCACAGGGCCCCCAACTCTGAAGCACTTCAAAGGGCAGGAAGCTCAACAGGGAATACTTCCAGGATGTGCCACAGCAATGATCTACTTGTTTTGCTGGCTGCCCAACACCAATTCACCCTAGAGTTTTCTCCCCTTCATACCTTTCCTTTGAGGTACATTTCTGTTACAAACTGAACTAGTGAAACTTAGTGAAAGCCAAGGATAAGATAGCAAAGGATTGAGCATTAATTCCTTTTAACAAACAGAGCAGACTATATAACAATAACAGCGAAGAAAAATGTCATTCTCGGTTTCTTGCTTCCTGAATTACCTTAATGAAGTCACTTCATGTATCTTCTCTGATCCTCTTACTGACTTATAAAGTGCTGTGAGATACTACCATTAACATACTAATAATAATAATAAAAGGCATAATTATTGTCCATCCTTTTGCCTTATCTCTATGTCAAACAATAGCAATACTGTACTTGAGCATGCCCCAAGTGCAATTAATTTCTGGGTATCTATGGTCTGTAGGGTGTTTCAATGTAATTAATTCAAAGAATAAATAAGTATGTACATAATGATCTGGCCTCTAGAAGCATTACGTATTCACCTCCACACAAACCAGGTACAAGTATCGGCCATAAAGCTTTAAATAACATAGGCTCAGTCTCCATCAAACACCCTTTGCCCTGCCCTGCAACTGTGGACATAATTCACTGCAGTCTCAGGAGAGACCACACTGACTATTTCAAGAAGAATCTCCATCTATGAAATATTCTCCTTGTTATATCCCAGATCTTGAACAGAACATCCCTCAGCAGAACCAGACTACCTGTTTCCTTTTAACCTAAAAAAAAAGCCAGAATTCTGCATAAAGCATCAACACGTTTAGCTACACCATATACTGATCACAGAACTGCTTACTACATGGCTGAGGTTTTGCTGTTGTTTCTTTAAATCTTTTTACAAGTGGTTGAGGCTCCAATTGCTATGGTGCTAAAGGTCTTGAGTAGTTTTTACTTTTCCTTTAAGCTCAGTAGATTTTGGTACACAGTGGAGATGTTTTTAAATACAGTCTGTCTGCTAGTATTTTTAGTCAGAATGAAGGTGCTGAGGAGGATTATGTGGTATTGAAAAACAAATCTGCTACAATTATCAGTGTTTCACAATAGCACAACGGTGGTGGTAATTTCAAAGAAAAGCAGTAAATGAAGATGCTGGTAAACGAAATTGCATTGTAGGCTGTGGCTCAGTTTGTCAGAATAGGGAGGGCAGGCTTTGCACATTGCCCAGGCAGCAGCGGGGAGGAAAAAAGCCTTTAAATGGGTCTGCATATGAAAAGGGACCTTATCATCTGGCAAGTAGCTGAATTGCTAAAATGTTGCTGGAACATATAAAACTCAGAAAACTGCACAACACTCAATTATCAATTTTAACTTGTACTGCAAAATGGTTTTTTCTCTCAGATAAATAGAATTCTAGGATGAGAAAAACCTGAATAATCACTTTAAAACAATAATCAAACTCTTGTACTGAGTCTACTAAATGCTTATGGGTTTAATTTTACACCACACATGCTGTAATGACATGTGCCACTTACATAACTCCTTCTACCACAACATTTCAAATTACTTGTGTGCTTCAGAGATCAGGCTGAGACGGAAATCTGTGTTTAGGTACTTGTATTTCAACTTTACTTCATAAATTGATGCAGTGATGCAGACAGCTTTAAGCCTATTCAACAGACAGAATACATTTACAGAGCAGATGCAGTTTTAATTTACCTATTATTAATTTAAAATCTATTCCCATGATACAGAGACATCTACTGAGCTATCTGTTTTTAACATCACAGTAGATTCTTCTTTTGATCCAGACACACTTGGCCCATAAAGCCTTCTTTATAAAGAAGAGGTGGGGAAGGAGGAGAGGCGCAGAGGAAATAGGTCTTTTTAGCTGATGAAGAAATTGTAGAAATTCACACAGACATCTGAATTCAGCAGTATGCTAAATACGCAGAACCTGAATCCAAACCTCGCCATGAGACAGGCAACAACTAGCTTGGTAAAGAATACAAC